GCAACTATATTAGTACAATGTGTAGCTGTACTTGTATCAGTTTCCGAAACAATCGTAGTATCAGTAGTCGTGGGGGTGGCAGTGCTCGTGGTAGTAATCGTAGGCGCAGTCGTAGTAGTCGTGAGAGTTGTAACACGAGTAGTAGCAGTATTTGTAGTAGTGGTGGTAGTACTAGGGGTAGCACTGGTAGTAGTCGTAGTAGTAGTAGTCGTAGTAGTAGTATTAGTAGTAGTAGTAGTAGTAGTAGTAGTGGTAGTAGCAGTCGCAGTAGTAGTTCTAGTAGTAGTAGTAGTAGTAGTAGTAGTCGTTGTAGTAGTCGTAGTAGTCGTAGTAGTCGTAGTAGTCGTAGTAGTGATAGGACCGAGGAGCAGTAGCAGAAGCAGTCGTAGTAGTAGTAGTAGCAGTAGTAGTAGTAGTATTAGTAGTAGTAGTAGTGGCAGTAGTCGTAGGAGTAGTTGTTGCCGTCGTAGTAGCAGTCGTCTTTGTCGTCGTCTTGTTGAACTCGCTTTTCATGGTTATAGTCGTTGTTGTAGCCGTCGTGGCTGTAGTAGTAGCGGTCGTCGTCGTCGTCGCAGTCGTAGTAGTAGTAGTAGTAGTAGTCGCATTATTCGTAGTAGTAGTAATAATAATAGTAGTCGTAGTAGTAGTAGTCGTAGTAGTAGTAGTAGTAGTAGTAGTAGCAGTAGCAGTGGTAGTAGTAGAACTAGTAGTGGAAGTGTCGTACCAGTAGTACTAGCATTCGCAGTAGTAGAAGGAGTAGAAGCAGTAGTAGCAACAGTAGTAGTAGTAGTGGTAGTAGTAGTAGTCCTTATCGGAGTAGTCGTCGTCGTCGTAGTAGCTGTAGTCGTTTATCGTAGACGTAGTCGTAGCAGTAGTAGTAGTAGTAGTAGTAGTAGTAGTAGTAGTATTAGTAGTATTTCTTGTAGTATTAGTAGTAGTAGTGGTAGTAGTAGTAGTAGTTGTAGTCGTAGTCGTAGTCGTGGTAGCCATAGTCGTAGTCGTAGTCGTAGTAGTAGCAGTGGTAGTAGTAGTTGTTGTAGTAGTAGTAGTAGTAGTAGTAGTCGGAGTCGTAGTAGTAGTAGTCGTAGTAGTAACGGTAGTAGTAGTAGTAGTAGTAGGAGGAGTAGTCGTAGTAGTAGTAGTAGTAGTAGTTGTACAAATTGTAGTGGTAATCGTTGTAGTAGTAGTAATAGTAGTAGCAGTAATAGTAGTAGTCATAGCAGTAGTCGTATTAGTAGTCGTAGTAGTCGTCGTCGTAGTAGTAGTAGTAGTCGTAGTAGTAGTAGTAGTAGTAGTAGTAGTAGTAGTAGTAGTAGTAGTAGTAGTAGTAGTAGTAGTAGTAGTAGTAGTAGTAGTAGTAGTAGTAGTAGTAGTAATATAGTAGTAGTAGTAGTAGTAGTAGTAGTAGTAGTAGTAGTAGTAGTAGTAGTAGTAGTAGTAGTAAGTAGGAAGTAGCAGTAGTAGTAGTAGTAGTAGTAGTAGTAGTAGTAGTAGTGTAGTCGTAGTCGTGTGTAGTCGTAGCGTAGTAGTCGTAGTAGTAGTCGTTGTCGTAGTCGTAGTCGTAGTCGTAGTAGTAGTAGTAATAGTCGTAGTAGTAGTAGTAGTCGGTAGTAGTAGTAGTAGGTAGTAGTAGTAGTACTTAGTAGTAGTTGTGTAGTAGTAGTAGTAGTAGTCGTAGTCGTAGTCGTAGTAGTAGTAGTAGTAGTAGTAGTAGTAGTAGTAGTAGTAGAGGTAGCTGTGTAGTAGTAGCTGTGGTAGTAGTAGTAGTAGTAGTAGTAGTAGTAGTAGTAGTAGTTGTAGTAGTAGTAGTAGTAGTAGTAGTAGTAGTAGTAGTAGTAGTTGTAGTAGTTGTAGTAGTCGTTGTAGTAGTCGTAGTAGTCGTAGTAGTCGTAGTAGTCGTAGTCGTAGGAGTAGTAGTAGTAGTAGTAGTAGTAGTAGTAGTAGTAGTAGTAGTAGTAGTGGTAGTAGTGGTAGTAGTGGTAGTGGTGGTAGTAGTCGTAGTCGTAGTCGTAGTAGTCGTCGTCGTAGTCGTAGTCGCAGTCGTACTAGCAGTAGTACGATCTGCAGCAGCAGGAGCAGGATCAGCAACAGCAGCAGTCGTGGTCGTTGTTGCCGTCGTCGTCGTCGTCGTCGGAAGGGGCAGAAGGGCAACCCCACCAGAGGCGAAGGAGGAGGAAGGAGGGGGAGTGATGATTGAGGAGGGGCGAGGCAGCAGGGCGCGGATGGCCCCGCCGGCCCTTCTGGCGCAGATCCCCCCCCCCCCCAGCAGCTCCGCGGCCCCGCCAGCGCGGGAATCCCGCGGGGCCGCTCACGCGGCTGGCGCCCTGCCGCGGCCGCAGCGGGTCCGCGACCGCTCAGGGGGGAGGTGGAGCTGGAGCAGGGGGGTCTCAACAGGCAGAGTGTAGGGGAAGGAACAGGAGGAGGAGGAGGAGGAGGAGGAGGAGGAGGAGGAGGAGGAGGAGGAGGAGGAGGAGGAGGAGGAGGGGAGGACGAGGACGAGGACGAGGAGAGGAGGACGAGGAGGAGGAGGAGGAGGAGGAGGAGGCGCGGCCACGTGCGAGGAGGAGGAGGATGAGGAAGGGGGGGCGGAGCAGGAGCAGGAGCAGGAATACAAGCAGGAGCAGGAGCAGGAGCAGAAGGAGGAAGAAAATGATGATGAGCAGGATGAGCAGGAGAGGCAGGAAGAAGAGGACGAGGAGGAGGAAGAGGAGGAGGAGGAGGGGAAGAAGAAGATAGGAGGAACAGATGAGGAGGAGGAGAAGGAGGAGGAGAAGGAGTGTGAGGTGGATGGGGGGAAGGAAAAGGGGGTTGGAGGTGGGCGGAGCGAGGTGGGGAGATGGAGGTGGGAGGCGAGAGCAGTGGGTGGCGGGAAACGACAGGAGGAACCTCCAGAGGCCGCCTGGGATTCGCACGGATCTCCAGAGCCTTCGGCGCCGCCCTCGGCGCATCTCATGCCCAGCGTCGATCCAAGAAATCCGAGCGGACCTCCGAGAGTTCACGCGTAAGGGAGGGCCAGATGTCACTAAAATAAATCACCGCCGAATCCCGCAAGCGCGAGCTTTTGGGGCAGGGCTCTGCTTGGGGAGCCACGGCCAGTGCAGGCCCTGCCTCGAAGTCTTTGGCCGGTCCTCGAGTCCTCGGTCGAGCTGCGACTTCGGGATGGGGGGCCTGCTCCCCCCGTTTGCCTGGGAGGAGGCCCAGCAGGACGCCACCGATGCTGCAGCACGTGCACGCACACCTCGCCACCGCTGGCGGGCGGCCCGCACGCCGATGCCACCCCCGGCAGCGGCGACGGGCGCCTCCCCGAGAGGCCCCCAAGAGGGCCACCAGGCGGCCGAAAGCCTCGACCCTCGAGCGGCGACGCCGACGGCGACGGCGACGACGACGGCGACGGCGACGGCGACGGCGATGGCGACGACGACGGCGACGGCGACGACGACGGCGGCGACGGCGACGACGACGGCGACGGCGACGGCGGCGACGGCGACGACGACGACGTGGGCGGGAAGGCCGCGGGCGCGGGGCGCGGGGGGCCCGCACGCCCAGGCCCGGCCCGGCGCCCCCGCGCCCCCGCCCTGCGGGGCGCCATGGTGGGCTGCCTCGGCATGCTGGGGCAGGACGCCCCCGGCACTGCTCCAGGCCGGACGGAATCTTGAGACCACACGATATCCGTTGAGGCCACACTAGTGTCCTCCTCCTCCTCTTCCTCCTCCTCCTCCTTCTCCTCCTCCCCCTCCTCCTCTTCCTCCCCGTCCTCCTCCTCCTCCTCCTCCCCCTCCTCCTCCTCCTCTCCCCTCCGTCTCCTCCCTCTCCTCTCCTCCTCCTCCTCCTCCTCCTCCTCCCCCTCCTCCTCCTCCTCCTCCTCCTCCTCCTCCTCCCTCCCTTTCCTCTCTTTGTCGGGCCGGACGAAAGGGGGGGATTGGGAAAGGGGGGGTTACGAAATCTGCTGCATGCAGCTGGTTTCGGCCCCACCGAGGGGCCCATTCCTCGATGCATGTGCGCCTCCGGCGCTGGGAGGCGCGGGGAGAATCAGTTACGTGAGCTGGTTCTGACCCCCCCCCCTTTGCTATCCCCCCCTTTCGCCCGGCTCGGACTGCTTCGAGCAGTGGCGAAGCGTCCTGGCCTGCCCTCGAAGCAGAAAACCGCACAAACACAAACTGTTGGCGCTCCGCGCGGGTTCCTGGGATCCGCGCCTGGGCCTTCGCCTCCTCTTCCTCCTCCCGTTGTTCCTCCTCCTCCTCCGCCACCTGCTCCTCCTGATCCTCCTCCTCCTCCTCCTCCTCCTCCTCCTCCTCCTCCTCCTCGCAAAAGGAACTTTGGGAGGCACGTGCATATTGCGCCGACGACATCATGATACGCGAGTCCATATGCCAGACGCCACAGGACACAGCATCTTTGCCAATGAGATCCAAGCATGTCCACGACATATCGATCGTCATTTGGAGGCTCACGGGCCAGGACGTGGCGATCATCACAATCTACCTCACCGCGTCCATCGGTTTCTCAGGTGAGAACATCAAAAAGATGCGGCACCTCCTGCAGATCGTCAGGAGTCTCGGGAATTTGCCGTGGTTGGTGTGCGGGGACTTCAACAACACGTCGCAGGAGCTGGCAGACACACCATGGTTGAAGTTGCTGGGAGGCGCAGTCGTTGTGCCCCAGAGCGTCCCACATACCTGCAGCAGCGGATCAGGACGGCTGATTGATTTTCGCCATGGTACCTCCACACTTCCGGCCCCTACTACGATCAGCGCGCGCGATCCATGTGGTACCATGGTCTCCTCACATCGGCATCGTGATTGAGCTGTGGGCCAGGTCGTCGCGAATTACCATTCGAAAGCCCATGCTGCCTGCCAAGAGGCCGATCCCACCAGTAGAATTACGACGCGAGAAAAGGACTCAAACGTCAGTAGCGAGATCGGCAACAACATCAACAACTCAAAGCACACGGAGACACAGCCGACACCATGGATGACGGCCTGCTCGGCACGCACTTCAAGGCTACAGCACCTATGCAATGCGACGGCAGCTTATGGGACGACATACGCAACAACGAGCGCGACGTCAAGACCAAGAAAGCCCCGCAGTGGATTCAGGATTCCATAGCTTACCAGCAGGACCCGAACATGACCGACGTGTTGGGCCAGCTCTATGGCAGGTGGGCGCATGCGGCCGAAAGAATGCTAGCTACCATCACAGAAGCTCCGATGCGGCCACGGGCGCGGGGAGGGCAGCCCACTCAGTACGTTGAGGTACCGTACACGCGCTACGTCAAAGGCAACAAGGATGGCGATACCAAAGCAGATCAACGGCGACGTCATAGCATGAACTGGGGTTCGCTATATCGAAGGTGCCGCGATGGCGAGCTTCTATTACGCAGGCGTCCAAAGATAGTGAACAGCATCTCCGAGCGATCTGCAGCATTAGTGGGGCAATGGTCGACCAGATTCAGCAGGGCGAGCAGACGAACACAGCGGATATGGACTACCTTGACCAGCAGGCCTACCAACTTGCACTACGAGCCACAAGGCTCGGGCATGATGACGACCCATACGTCGCAATGGAAAGCGTCAGTGCGTGGGCAGAAGCAACGGGGGCTACGCGAGTCCGAGCTGAATAGCATGGGCGACAAGCTTGGGAGGGCATCCGTGAACAGGTATCACAGTGGGTGCGCTCTGCGCACTCGAACAGCATGCAGGACGCACGCAGATATTTGGGCACACTTGAGCGACGAGACCTATCAAACACGGCAGTTGACCCTATCGCCCAGCAGGAGACTGGAGCATAGCGAGAAGCCACTGGTTGCCGAGCTGGCACGTGGCAAACGCGATGGCAGAGACACCACCAAGAAAGCGGAATACACCAAGCCATGCAAGATTTCCGTGAAGCAGCTCAAGAAGAGCTACCGCAGAGAAGGCTGTGCGACCCCGAGGACTTGGAGGAAGCAATGCCCAAGTTCAGTCCAACGACGGCAAGGGGAGCTCACCAATGGCGACCACCCGAACTACGAACCGAAGCCAAGCAGAGCCTCGTGAATAGAAACAACTTGCGCGAGTAGAAGCCTAGCTGGCCGTGCCAGTTTCACCGCGCCTGGCACCGCCTACTACAGGGCCAATGGGAGTCGCCACTCTCTCGCTACAGCAGATCCATTGGGAACCGCGTGAACCTGACGAACGGCAAGATCCCAGAGGCGAAGTATGGGGATTCACCGACGGCCAGGTTCCGGACATCAAGGACATCATGAGCACCCTTGCCAAGGATATTGACCAGCAGCTCTGGCAGAATGACAATGACCACTATTGCGGCAATGGCGTGCAGCGCGGCATGGATGCGACGGCCCTCGGGAAATGCAACGCTTCCGCAAAAGGAGCGTTTCCGCAAAGGGGATGAAGCACATGCAGTTTGGACCTTCAAAGCAGTAGCTTGCGGGGCAATCTGGACAGGAGAAAGACGCGCGGCGGCGGGGCGTGCCGCAGGCGGCACCTGTACGAGGCCCGGCAATGCGGCCGACGCGTTCAAGCACAGGATCTACGAGCGCGAGATTTTTTTGCGTTTATAAACAAAACTCAACGTGGAAGGCATCACCAAGGCACAGGACATCTGCAAGCAGGCGCTGGATGAGATGGGGCAGGACCCTGAGAGCAAGGCTTTCTGGCTACGTGGGAATATACCTCGACGTCGTAATCATGTTCAGAGCCCCTGCCTGGGGGGGGGGGGGGGGGATGC